GGGGAGGGGGGGGGGGGCGTCCGGAAAATCGGAAGAGTAAGAGAGAGGGAGATGGGGGATAAGGGTTGCCTGCTCGCGAGGTGCTCTCGCCGCCTGTGCGCTCTCTCTGCTCCCTCACCGCTTTGTTCTTCCCCTGTTCCTGCTCCCCGTGCGACCTTTGTCATGCAGCGGGCAGGAGGGAGAGAAAGAGAGAAACAGAGAGAGAAAGAGAGAGAGAGAAAGAGAGAGAAAGAAAGAGAGGGGGGGAGAAGTCCCCCATTGCTCAACACGGGGATGAAGAGGATGGCATCACGGAGGAGCGGCGTGCGCTGCAGGCCGCGCAGCGTATGGAGATAATCTAATCGCGCAGTGGAGTTTGAGAGAGGGAGAGGGGAGGGCGGGGGGACATTGCAATGCAGCCTTTCAGCAAGAAATCTAGTGAGTTGATGTGGGATAAGTGCAGATTGAGAGAAAAAGAGGAGGGGCACAGGGAGGGAAAATAGACAGTCTTGAGACTGTCTGAAAAAAAAAAGATGAGTCAAACAGCACAACACTTGTTGTTTACGCACCTCCTCTTTGGTCCACCGCCCCTTGTTCACGGCCTTCCTGTTGATCCCCAGGCTGTGCGCCGACGCGCCGGTCAGCTCGTCCGCGGCATCCGCGGCCCCGGACTCGTCGGACTGGTCGTCGCTCGACGAACTCTCGTAGCCGGACCGAGAGCTGCAAACAGAGATGAAGGAGGAGTTAGGACCTGGGCATGATCATGATGAAAACAGGGGAGAGTCGGTGTGTGTCGCGAGGTAGGACGAGAGAGGCGACCGAGGTCCGAGGGTGCGCTCTGATGCGCGACGGCACACTAGTGACGGCACGCGTGTGCGGGCGAGGACGAGTAGTGGCTGTTCCACCCGCAACAAGACCCCACGAGGCTTACGGCCGACCCCGACCCCCGTCAGGTGAAGGGCGCAGCCGCGTTACCTTGAGGTGGAGGACGATACGTACGATATCGTCTCCGTCCATCGCACTGCTTGGTATCCGTCGAACCTTTACGGACTCAGCCGTCCAGTCGTCCACCCCCGCCGCCGACAGGTCCGGTGCGTTGCGGAGGAAACGGAAATGAAAATAACTCGAGGGAATCACGGTTAGCCGACCGTGGCCCGCGGCCAGCGAGCGGCGGTGGCGTCCTCGTGATGCCATCTCCTCGGCGTCGCCCTCGCCCTCACCCTCCGGGGCTCTAGAGCGCGGAGCAGCGCTGCGCCCCACCACGCCCCATCAGTCACACTCGGCTGCTCGCCCAGGGCGGGGGAGGGGGCTCCTGCGCCCCCCTGCTGCCTGTTGTTCCAGTGGCTGAGCACACGGCCGGCCACGACATCCGGTTGGGCCTCCAGAGCCTCCAGCAGCGCGCCCGAGGAAGGAAAGGAAAGGAAGTGCACGCGGACGTAACTGGAACGCACCCCGGCCTACCGGACGGGCTGGAGGGCTGAATCACACCTCTGCGCGGCCGGATGTGTCGCCACGTCGGCTCCCCACAGCAGCCTCCCTCACCCGCCCCCAGCCCTGCCAAGTCCTCATCCCCCCGTCCCTTACCCCTTTCCTTTGGCGCCAACGAGCCCTGTAGCCAAGCCAGTAACCATCTTACTCTTCTTCCTCTTCTAGCAGGTCGAAAAAGTATGGGCATCCAGAACACAAAGGCGGGGGTGGGGGCGGGGGTGCGAGGGGTCGCTTTAAAATTCACACCTTTCGCATCCATGTAGGCGGGTAGTAGTTTCCCAGTCGTGCCGCGAGCACGCCGCCGCCCTCACTGGGCGTGTATACTCCGCAACTGCCGAAGCCATCGTAAACTATGGAAATGTGCGGCGGCCGGGCCTGGCCGTGCATCGCTAGAGGCAGGCCCAGGTGCATCGCTCTTCTGCGCCATCGCCGGCATGTGGGTCGAGGCATATGGCACCACCACCGGCATGGAAATGAGTGAGTAAAAAAAGGGGGTGGGGGAGGCCGGCGCAGACACACCATGGTCCTTGAGACACACACACATCCCCGTTTGGCGTCCTGATGGCCCCGCATCGCTGGTCATCGCGCTACGCCACGCCACGCCCCACCAGCGTGGGAAGGTGTGCGTAAGTGTGTGTATGTATGGGTGTGGAGCTCTATGCTTCGCTATGTAGGGGAGGAGGGGGGGGGGGAGAAGGACCAGTCCCACCACTTTCCACCCTTCATCTCCTTAAAACCCTCCCCTTTCCCCTCCAAGGAGTTGCAATACAAAAGAGGTTCGTGCAATGATAATAATAATGTATGAATGTGAGTGTGTGGGTGTGCAAGAGAGTCGGTGAACTCGCTGAGGTGTACTCGATCAAAGGGGTCATCGAGGGTGGGTGCGGGTAAAAGTTATAAAAATGTCGAGAAAATAATATAGGAAAATGAGGAACTATTCTATTTTGGAATAAATTTCATATAGTTGCCAAAATATACAACCTGCATACTAAGCTGAAGGTTGAAGAAATCATCCGACTTGCATTTCGAATCTTGTGCGACTCCCGACTTTGAATAGCCGATATGATGGATATGGGGTTGTAAGCCATATCCTTTAGTGGTCCCCCTCCCCCGTATCTCCGCACCCCCAACCCACACCCTGCAGATCTGGGCATCGCGACGGTGGGAAAAATAGGGGAGGGACCTGGACAGGTTATCCCCCCCCCCCCTTAGAGAACACGCTTCTCTCTAAATCCTTCCCTCTGCCAAAGCCACGCTTTTATTTTCGCTTATGTCTCCGCACTTTTTTTTTATTTGAGAAAGAAAATTATGGCATTGTTGCTCGTTTTCCGAAAAAATGGGTGTCTCAATAGTGGGAATATTATAAGAAACGAAGAATCCGCGAAGGGTTTTGCAAACGCAGAAAGGGTGAATTTAATAGGGACAATGCCTGCAGGCGAGGGAGCAGAGAATCATCGGGGACCTTTAGCACCCTAACAAACTACAGTCATGACTGACTTGCAAGTAAAAAAAAGAACAACCAAACAGGGCAAACATAGGTAACGCATGAGGGACATCAGTATTAATAATCAACAATGACTTCATATATTATGCAAAATGACCTCGTAGGTCATTAATCCATCACGAAGGTGTCATTACAGTATGAGCAAGACGTTGACCTGAAGAGTAAACAGGTATCTTGTGCTTTTCCTAACCCTTTCCACGGCTTTCCACGCACAATTCCTGTACTTTGGTAGATATTTTGCCAGTGCTGCACGACAGTATACAACCAGAGAAGTTAAGAGAAAACATTTGGATAATTACTGATTTCAATGTTATAAAAAATTATTCGATGCCTCTATGTACTATTTCTCAAAATCAGAGAGAAAATAACCCGGACCAAGCTTATGGTTTTCATTACTTTAAGCAATCAAAACGTTTGTTTCTCTGGAAATGAAGGTAACGTACGAGTCCACGGCGTGGCCAAAGGCATGATCTTGCGGAGTTGCCACATCGAATCAGACAATTTAGATTGGGGAGAGGAGATGGAGGGAGG